CCCCAAAACCCCAAAACCCCAAAACCCCAAAACCCCTTTTAAAATAATTTATATTGAGCCCTTTTGAGATAAAACCCTACTACTTCGTGTTCAGATGGTACCGGTTTGCTCTATTGTTCATGATAGTGAGAGCGTCATTAAACCTCTTACGGTTTACTGCGAACGGACTCGGACTAGCTTCTAGATGTGTCCTATCTTGTTGTAGCTCTAAAGATAAGATGAGGGACGTACCTTGAAGCTTTCTAGTCTGAACATCACTTATTCTACGTTGAGCAAAGCTCAAATTTTGTTCAGCGACCTTACAAAAGATTCCTATTAAGATTTAGATAACGGCTAATACTTTTTCTCTCAAGCGAATTCCGCTGATTTTTCTTCTTTTCCTCAATATACCTTGTCATTGCAGCTTTGGCCTTCTTCAGCTGAATATCTTGGAAAAATGTTCTTTTCGAATCCTTGAGCTTTCTCTGAATTTCAGAGGTATTGTACATCCTTTGGGCAATTAGCATTTTATTTATGACTAGAGTAACTTAAAGATTCCTTACCTATCTGTCTTGAGCTTCAACTTTGTATCATAGTCAAGAAGAGACAGGTTTTGCCTTTGAATGTCATCTTTGGTCTCTTGAAGGACACTCTTTAGAGAGGCCTTGGATTTATCCTTAACTTGCTTCATAATGAGCTGGTTAGCTTCCCTTTTTCGCTTGAATTCCTCAGGGTTTATTTCATAGCCATATTTGTCGCTAGCATAGCTATTTATTTGCCTCAATAACACTTTTTGAACGACTAGAGGTAAGGTGGAAGCCTACTTGGAGAGACAAGATATGCTCCCATTTATGGGTAGTGGATTCATAAATTCTCTAATATTCTGCGAATATACGTCAACAGGCTTCGATTGTCTATGATGAGAAGAAGATTATTTACTTAAGACCCTTCCTGATGTTGGAGCTACTACGTTTATCACCTGATTTGAATAATGAGCTCTTCCAAAGTGAAATGCTTTTCTTTGGAGAGGAGTCTATACTTCCACTACCTTTAAAATCAAAGACAAAGTCATTTGATTTTTCAAAAGAATCTTCTCTCCCTGTACAAAAGGTCTTTTTCATTGAAATTTTCAAAGACTTTTTAGGACTAATTTGATCAAGGAAATCCTGCGTCTTCTTAGGTTTAAATTTCAAGCTCTATGTCCATTAACCGCTACATCCTACAGGACACTTCACAGTCTGCCCTAAATACAAAAATCACACCTAGTACCATAACTCCACCTTCTAAATGCTCAAAATTGGTGCAAACCCCTCTATCTCCTCTCCTAAGTCAATTTCCTTACCTTTTATCTCCTTTCTCAGTTGCTCTAGTATCATCTCTACACAATCCCAATTATAATTTTACCTATTTCCTTCTCACTTATAAAATTATTCAATTTTTAACCTGAAAACAGGGGTTTTGGGGTTTTGGGGTTTTGGGGTTTTGGGGTTTTGGGGTTTTGGGG